CTTTCCTTACACTTTCATTTGATGCAGCTAGAGCTGTCTAAAACCTTTCACTTTTTACAACATGCTCTTGCCACTATAATTTTTTTTTCTTTTGTTTAGATTATATCCTGTCAAAAACAACTGAAATTCCATTTTGTTCTTCAAACACAGTTCTGCACTGACTTCCACAAAATCAAAGTAATCAGCTTTTAAATAAATCTAGGCAACATTTAGAAGTCAGTAAGTGTTTTATATGCAGTTTAGAAATAGAAGCTAGTGATAGGCTGTGAAGGTTAAGTCAGTCATGCAAATTAACGACATTCTAGAGGGTAAACAAATTGTTGATAGGTTGTCTCTGCTCACCTGTAAACTGGCAGTTGTGTGTTGGTGATGGAGGTTATGGAAATATTAATAAAAGTGGATAGAATTGAGAGTGTTCCTTGTATGTGTAACTTCTCTCTTCCATTTAAATGGTGGACAATGTTTGCCTTTCAAATATGTAACCACTGACACCAGTGATCTTTACTCAGCTATATATAATATATGCTGATTACCAATGTAATAGGGCCCTTCTGCCATTGACCACCAGTGTATTGGGGCCTCTCTCCTATTTACCACTACACTAGTGTGAAGATACCCTTCTCTTATTGACCACCAATCTAAGGGGGCCTTTCTCCACTGACAATATAAGGTAGAATTTCACTGGTCACTGATGTAAGCAAGCACTACACTGGCCTGGAGGCATTGAAGTGAGTTATGTAGCTTTTATTATACCAGATGCTCAAAGATCAGACGTCTCCCCCATATCTACAACGGTACCAAGAAGGGTTCAATCAGGGGCATAACCGTAATGAGGCAACCTGAGGAGGTATCCCATTGGGGGGGCAGCACGTCAGACCAACAGCACCCCCCCTTCCCCGGCTGGCAGCTCAGCTGCCCGCCGCCTCCTACCTGGCTAACAGCTCGACCGGCCGCCGCCTCCTGCTCATCTGACAGCTTGGTTGTCCATCGCCTCACACCCAGCACAACCCACTGCTCCCCCTCAGTAGGTGAATAAGGTAGGAACGGCCGAGGGTAAAATAGCTGGTGTGACCCTGATAAAATTTAGACAGATGTAGCTGATGGAAGCATACCCAGAAACAAATTTAGGAGAGTCCATAGCAGAGTGACAGTGAGGTACTGAGTGGGTCACCATTTGAGGCATGGCCCTTTAGTGAGAAGGAACTTGATGTCAGTTAGGAATGGGCCCATGCTGGTAAGAGCTAGCACAGAGGTGTCAAAATGAGAGGTTCAGGCTTGTGTGTTTCCTCCCTTCTGTGTTCGTTTCCTGGTTCAAAAGAGAGGGAGGGGAAAGGTATGTGACAGTCAGGGCCGGCCTTAGGGGTGTGCGAGCAGTGCGGCCGCACAGGGCGCCATGGCAACAAGGGCGCCGTGCGGCCGACACAGCTCGTCCTGGGGGCGGCTTCTCTCCCCCTCACCGCTGGGATGCTGCAGCTTGCCTAACTGTGAGTAACTAGGCAGTAACATGGGCACCTGAAGAAAGACTGCATCTAGAAGATAGACTACTTGGGACCTGGTACATCACATGGTAACAAAATTTAGGTAACTAAAAAAATTACAAGGCCCCTTTTAAACTATCATAGAGATTAGCTGGGATTGGCTAAAGGGGGGTGGAGGAGGGGGGGAGTTCTTGCCCAAAGATTATTTTTTATTAGGAGCTTTTAAATGTCATTACCCATGTACCTCAGTTCAAATGGGATAATGTGTTTTGTATAAAATGTATATTGTGTGAAAACCAAATATGCTACACACACAAAATGCCCTGCGCTACGTAACTAAGTAGTTATGGTTAAGGTTTATTTAAGGAAGGGCTTTTCCCCATAGTTCTCCTTAGGGTAACGGGAGGACACAAACTAGCGTCCTCCTGTCACCCTAGGATCAGTATACTGAGACGCCGCAGTATACCACGAGCTGCTGCTCGCGGTATACTGAGACGCCGCAGCTGAAGCGGATCCCGACAATTATGCCGGGATCTGCCCAGCTGCGTGACTGACAGCTGACTCTGCCTGTCTAGAGGCAGAGCCAGCTGTACCCGCCCCCTCCCCCGTCCGTTCCGCCAGTCAGCGCTGGCAGATCGGAGCGGGGAGGGGGGAATCCAGCCCCTCCCCTGTCACGGCAGAGAGCCGTGACAGGATCTAGAGGTGAGCGAACGCCGGTATGTGTTCGCTCACCTCCCGATCTACTGAGCCGACCTGTGACAGTCTCATTGTCACAAGTCGGCTAGAACTATGAGGTGAGTGAAAAGCACTCACCTCATAGTTCTCCTTTAAGGAAAAGCCTCTATCTTTCTCTGCATCAAAATCTCCCAGTACCAAAGCTAGCATATCAGTTTTTTCCCCTTGGAACCCTGGATTAAGGTGAATTTTCTAGATATGCTGCAAGTTCAAACCTAGGCTAATCAAAACTTTCATCCCCAGTGCTAATATTATTTTACTCTAATTAATTTAGCATTAAATTGCTTCTGCTGTCTCTCCCTTGTAATAGCTTTATAAATTATCAGGTCCTTAAAGCGAAACTATACTGAGGAGTTAGATCTTAAAAATGCATTCATGTTCCTTCACCTGTTAATGCACTCTCATTTCTTTCTGCCAATCTCCTTTCTCCTCCAGTTCTGGAATATGCACTCTACTTCTGCAATCCTGTCCAGCTCTGGAACATGTTTCTTCTTCATCCGATCCCATCCACCCTTGGAAACAGTTCTGCTGTCCCTGGTCCCCTCCACCTCTAGTACATATCTCTAGCATCCCTATTTCCTTTTACCATTGATGCATGCCTCCAACATCCTCTCCTGGATCCTTCTCTTCAATACCCTAATATATACCTTAGCCTTCTCTTCTGCAACATGTTTCCACTGTCCCCTGTCACCTTTTTGTCCAGTAATGCCCCCAATTCTCTCTGCATTTAATATAGGTCTACAGCATCCTCTCTTCAATTCGTTTTTTACAGCAGGGATTCCCAACCTGGGAAGAAATCTCTCCAAGGGGTATTTGTCAGCACATTAATGGGTACTTGGAAATATTTCTGTAAGGGGTGAAAAAAGGTGTGGTAGTGGAGAGCCAGGGATGTAATTGTGTGCAGGGTCCAGCAGCTGCCAGCCCATTAAGGTGCTTCCATCAGATGAAACCCGCTCCACTCTGCAGCTTCGACCACCTCCACTACACTCCCCAAGGTGCCCTCAAAGTGCTGCTACAACCCTTTCTGAACTGCAACAAAGAGGTGAGCCACTAGGCTTTATCTGCATCCTCCATGGCCCAGACATCTATCAAGGGGGGATGCCTAGCCCTTCAACCAAAAGCGGCCTCAAAACCCCAGAGGAGCCCTGCATCCAGGGAATCCAGTGTGACAGGACGCACTGCAAAAAGACCCCAAATTAACACTGAAGACACCACACCAATATGACAAACCCCAAAAAAGCCTCCACCCCAGCCTACAAGCTCCCTTCTTTATCCCACTAACCCGCCACACAGCAGCATTTTTCCTTCTAATTTTAAGCTCCTTCCACTGCCAGTATAATCCAGTCACACCTACCATTTGGTGTGGCACGCTAATTGCGCTGCTATTAGTAGGGATGACAATAAACAAAAATGTATTAGTACTCGCACTTGTAAGTATTCGGCAAGTACCAGTACTTGTACTCGCAAAACTGGTATCTGTGCATCCCTTTATTTATATTTATATAAACAAAATCTAACATTAAAACAGAAATGTACAAATCCCAGGAGTGTGCTCCTTTCAAATGACAGCTGCCTCCTAATTTTGGAATTTTTCTCTAGTCTAGTCTTGGAGCTCAAACGTATCGGTACATGTACTCGTACTTGTACCGAGTACTGTACTTGGTATCTGTGCAACCCTAGCTATTAGCTCCGCCCCTAGCCTGCACTCTATCTCACCCCCATTAAGAAGTACAATTTATGCAAATTGACTTGCGAAGGGGTACACAAATTAAGAAAGGTTGGGAGCCACTGCTCTACACCGGTCCATGCCTCAACCTTCCCCTCCACTTCTTGAACATGCCTTTACCATTTCTGGCCCACCTTCTACAGTATACGTCTCTGGTATTCCAAATCTTTACCACCCCAATACATGTCTCCAGTGTCCTCTCCCTGCCTCCCCTCCGACCTCCAATATATAGCTCACGTATCCCTATTCCCCCTCCACCTCCAATTCAAGTCTCCATCATCCCCTCCACTTCTTATTCATGCCTATAGTGGCTTCACCACCCACTGTATTTACTCGTCCAGTAAATGGCTCTGGTATCCCCATCTGACCAACCTCTGAAACATAACTCCAGAATCTCTCCACCTCTTGTCCTCCAACCCATAAAACCTTTGACCCACTTCCAAAATTACCCCATTCATTAATGGGCATTTGCTGCCACCTGAACTGTAATAAACAGGTGGTAAACACTGCACACTAAGACAAGGGAATTGTGTTCTATTGTTGATCAACAAGTATAATATATATAATATATAATCAAGCTGGAAACCATCCTATATATTCAGAGCACAGCGGTGTATAGCAAGCAATAAGATTTAAAATCTGCATAGAGCTGGAGTGTGGGAGCAAAGGATCCCAAATAAATCTTGACAAAAATGAACAGCTTCCATTTTAAACCATGTAACCTATGCAAAATAAAAAAAATTCTATCAGCAACACCTGTTAAAAGGTAGGTTGGTAATGTTTTAAGGAACCTCAAGATATCTATATTTATCAAGTAGTATTTAGATTTAGAAGCCACAAAGTCCAGTCTACGTTGGGTGCTTTTTAAACTGCTACAGTTTGAAAATAACCACATGCAGATTTCTAATGTGTCATTGACCTTTTACAGAAAGAATTTGTCAGCAGCAACAGAGTGCTTTTTCAGAGATCCAGCTAGATACACAGACATTGTAACTTAAGAATACATTGATGGCAAAAGTAGTAAGCAGCAAAGTGAAAATAAGTCATGCCCTATATCTCACCTGTACCACATCTTCATTGATTTTCTTGGGGTCTCTCTGTACCAGGTCAATCTCTTTGGTGAGGGGTTCTGCATAGGGCTTGTTTTCCTTGGCAGGCTCTGGTTGCTGGATTTGGGCCATGTTGTAAGTGTTGGACTACCTCACCCTCTTCTCCCTCTGTCGCTGTCCTGCAGCTTGTGTCCCTGTGTGAAGCTGACCAGGGAGCTGGTAATATAAGTATCTCCACCCTCTCCCACTATAACCCATCCCTGACTATGTGACTCAGGGAAGATAGACAAACTACTTTTGTTTATCAATAATATATTTAATGCAGGGAGTTCAAACTAGATGTGATTTAATTTGGTACATTTTGTTGTGTTTTATTTTCCTTTTCAATTCTTATTTTTTCTGTCTCTTACTAAAACCATTATACTCACACATTTAAATGTCATTGATAAAAGATAAAAGAGGGTATGTGTCACTAATTGTAACATATGCACAATATATGAAACCTTGTCTAATCACATGAATACTGCGAGGATTGGTGCATAATATTATAACTGAGGATTCCACCTAACATGTACACTTTCATAACTAGCTAGATTGAGAGTGCTGCTTACCTGAGATTATTACACGCGATCAAGGAAGGTCTTGGCTGGGGGTAAGGAGGTATTTATCCTCTGGGACAGGCCTAATATAATATGTTGGGCTGTTGGCTCAGAGTGGAGAATATTCAACATTGACATTGATCAGAGCAGGAGCCTCGGTCATTAAAAGATAGTGGGTATAATATATAGCTTCTTCGCCCTCAGGCCTGTGATCACAGAGGGAAGTGATGTAACTAAAATGCCAAAAGCTGCAAAGAAATCTGATGCTGCAACATGTGAATATGTACCTATCATAAAAGGGCTACTTGTTTGTATTTGCCCACCAGGACAAAGTTTCCCTTTTCTCCTTTGCATACTATTTCCCTATATTTCCAAGATCATCTGGATTGATAGTCCCATCTCACAATAACGTTTACACATTATTGTCCCTTCACTTCCAAGATCTTCTGGATTGATAGCCCCATGTTGCCTACCCACTCTGCAGAAAGTATTCAAAGAGTTCTTGAGTACCTTCAATTCCTCTGATACCCTGCAGACAGTCATTGAAAGCACTTTCTGCTATAATGTTAAGTCAAAATCTTCTCTAATGGGATTTTCTTAATAATGAAGACTGTATGGAAGAAGAAATAATCTCCTGTCCTCCTGTTTGAGGTATTTTCCCTTAATTACAGGAGAATCTTTTAGGCCCCTTTCCAACACACACACTTCGATTAGGTTCACCTGTCAGTTTTTCAGGCGGACCTGATCGGAAGCCTGATGCTAGTCTATGGGCATACATATTTCCATTTCTCCAATCAGATCATGAACATTTTCTGGTGTCTGTAGGCATACTTAGGTGGATATTTACCAAAGGAGAAATGTTTACACTGGTCCATTATCATTCATTTGTGCTCCCTTCAAACATTTTGACTGTTTAATAGAAAACAATGTTGGCTAAATGATTGTTTGAGGTACTCACAGGCTTATTTAAGTTGCATTAAAATATTTCATTACAGCATACCTGTGTCCTTCTCAATATTTAATAGCTGGCTCTCTAAAATAATTTGTTCTATTTTTTTTCTATAAAAAAAATAATCTAGTTCCTTCTCACCATAACCAGTATGGTTATACTGTCTCTATTGGAATTATGTAAATTTAAATATAATATAAGCCTATTCACATACCATAGATCCATGCAAAAAGTATATACTGTACATTGCTTTATATATACTGTGTCTGAGCTTTAAAAAAAAAATTGCCGTGCCCAGCCTATAAACCTCCAGCGCTCCCTCACTCCACTCTATGAGCTTTACCCGTGTTCTGCTCACTCTGCTTTATTTAGACCTGTTCACCCCACATGAAATGTGACCCGGGTCTCTCTCCTCTGCCTCATGTGAAGTGGTTTGCATTCTTCACTTGCATGCAACATTTCTGGCTTGGGATCGGCCTGTAGTTGTCTAAATGGCACGCAAATTAGCTTTTCCACTGCAGAGGCTGGCAACATTAAAATTAATTTCTCCTTATACTAACTAAAAACAAATCTATTTTACAGGAGGAAGCTTGATCGGAAAGGAAATCGCTTACATTAACTATGCATCCATGTGTAGCAAGCAGCCAAGGAAAAGACATTAGAATTCAAGGTTCAATCGATCTGGCAATTAAATATTCCAGTTGAATCTTAAAATAATTAAATAATTAAAATAATTCATCACTGTGGGGTTTTTATGTCCATTTTTGGTTGGAAAAAATGTCATTATGTTTGATGAGGGTTTTAAAATGTGTGCTTTGTAGAACCTTTTCTTTATTTAGTTCTTTCATTATTATTGTTATTTTATTTTTAAAGTGTATTTATAGCTAAAACCTTTAAATTGTTTAGTGTAGGAAATCCCTGTCATAATTTATTTTTCTGTTTGTGTCTGGGATAGGTAGATTCACCTTCTCTTTTTGTCCTGGTGACCAGAGCCGGATTTACTCTCTCTGCTGCCCCAAGGCCAGGTTCCTCAATGCACCCCCTCTCCCGCCAAAGACCTCCCACCCCACCCCCCGTGGAGAATGGAAACCAGATGGCAGTGGCGGCAGGGTTGGTTTTATTTTTTTATTTTTGTATTTATTTTTGTAACTTTTTTATCACTTTACTTTTTTAATTTTACTTTCTTTTTTTTTTACTTTTTAAAATGTATAATTATTAACAATTAATTAGCTCGGAGCCAGCTTATTGTTAGACTGGTCCTTCCAGCCTTGTCCCCCTCCAATGCAGCAGTCTAAGGTCCCTTAGCCATCATGTTCTATACACAGGGCCGGATTCCCGACAAGGCCACCAAGGCCCGGCAGGGAGCAGAGGGGCGGCAAAGGTTTGAGGTCTCCCGGCGCGGGTGAGTAGCGGGTCCACACCAGGGATGTGTGCTCAGGGGAGGCAGAGCCTCACCTAATATTATGGACAGAGAAGCAGTCAGCTTCAAGTCTGAAGCTGACAGCTTTTTCTCCATTAAGATCGGCTTCAAGCAGGTTACACAGCAGGGAAATCCTCCCCTCTGTGTAACCTGTCATGGACGGAGCGCTGCCTGTTAATTACAGGCAGTGCTGCATCCGACTTTTGACAGCTAGTTAGGTTACACAGCAGCGGGCTTCCCCACTGATTGTGTAACCTAACTAGTGAGGCAAGAGCTGTCACAGCCTCTACTCTTTGTTAGAGGCTTGAGCGCTGTGGATGGTTTGGACCAATGGCAAAGCGCCATTGGTCCAAGCTGTCCAATCAAAAAAAGAAAAAAAAACCCCAACCGATCTCGATGTCTCAGCAGTGAGAAGCAAGTGAGGGACAGGGAGGCTCCTCCCTGACTCCAAACCTCCTCCTCCCTCCTTCACACTAGCTTGGGCTTCGTCGGGATGGGAAGATGGGGAGGATATGGGAAGCAGGATATGCTTTGGCATGCTGGGGGCAGGGCAGGAAATGCCTCACCAAAAAGCGAAGGTACTGCACGTCACTGGTCCCCACTGCTTCTGAGGTCTGTATGGGGGCATATAAGGTAGCAGATTGGTGGGGGACAGCCCCTCATGTGCTTTTTAAAAAAAAAAAAAAGCATGTATTTTAAGCCACGCATGTAATTGATTACAGTAATTCAAAGACCTGTCTCACCGTGTTAACAAACAAAGGGGTCAGTTTGCTCTTGCTGCTTAACACTGCAGAGAGGACTCGGTAATAGGAGGAGAGGCTGATCACATGACTGTGACAGCTTTTTTTTTATTCCCCTGCTTCACTATTTAGAAAAAAACCGCTCTGTTGGATCAGGTGCTCAAATCCTATTCGTAAGGCACATTGTTTTTCATTGGTTTTTTTTAAACAGTATGGCTATACCGCTGCTTTATAAATTGACACATAAATGTTTTATTAACTGAATTTGTTATTTTATAACATGATAATTTTCTAATAAAAATGTTCAGTTTTCATACATAAATACTTTTACCTGCTCTGGAAAAGTAATTGAAGAAGTGAAAGTCCTCATGCTGGTAATTTAATCAGATCCATGTGATGAAAAACTATTTTCAGATAATTGAAACATTTTTTTTTAATATAGGAAGCAATGGACATGAATGAAAACACAGCATGAGTTAAGCTTTTGTGAATCGTCTACAATGGAAAACAGGAAAAAATACGTACCTTTCATTGTGTCTGCTAGCAACTAGTCTGTGGTCTTTCACAGAGACCAGAAATGAAATCAAATAAAAAAAAACAAAAAAACTTTAGTACAGTTATGTATTCATTGAAAAAATAATTGAATGCATTTTTATATTATTTTGGTTTAATTGTTTGAAATCTGTTTCTTTTTTTTCCCTACAGAACCCTTCACAGCAAGTATTAGACTAAAAGTGATGGGATATATATTGTGAGCCAGTCAGTCATTTTGTAGGCACTAGGGGATGGGAGGTATGAGGTTTAGGAAGGAGAGAAAAGCACAGTGAGGAGCTTTTTAGTGTGATAATAATCACGGTTGTCCAATGAGTAAGTTAGTGACACAGGGATCTGCAATTAAAAAACAGGTGTCACCCTACTTCTAAAGGTGCCCATACCCTGTGCAAATTTCGTTCGTTTTTTGAAGAACTGCCTGAAATTCACACAGTGTGTGCCGCTTTCGGCACCCTTTCAGTCAGCATCCCTTGATCAGCTGATCAAAGGAGCTGGCCGGAAAATCTTTGTACGATCAGACCCTGCAGCAAATGAGCCGCTGGCTCTGTTTGTGTATCCTGACAGTGGCCAGCGGCTGCTGTCAGAATACAATGCGAACATCGGGATTCCTCGAATTGACACACTCCTAAGTGTTGATGGAGGAAGATGCTCTATTTTTCTCGTTCAGCCCGCTGGTTGAACGAGAAAAATAGAGCAGTGTATGGCCAGCCTTAGAGTTTTATTTAATTTACATGACTGTCTGAACAGAATTACAGATACTTTGTTAAAAAATAGTTCTCATAATTACAACTAGTAATAAGTTAATTTAATCAATAGGAAATTTATAATTGAAAACAAATTCTAGCTGCTGGTTGGACTCTACCAGGTTGGGTTCAGAGGCTGTAACAGAAATAACATAACATGTAATAAAT